CCAAGGCGGACATTGGCTGTTTCTTCGTCCAAGCCTTCGTCCTACGAGCAGGGCTCTGCTTTGAGAAAGTGGCCCCGCTGAAACCAGTGTTCGTAGAACTATCATCAACATGCCAACACACACACACAAAAACTGTGACTGCAGCAGTCCTGAAGGACGTACGCCTTGAGCTTGTTGGATAATCCGATCCCTTTTCCTTCTTGGCCCTTGCCAGGCGCACAACTTATCATGTCTACAATGTTTCAACTATGGACCTGCCCGCCTGGAGATACAATATAGCTCCACGTCGTGACTTGCTCAGAAGCTTCATGAATGCTTTCAACTGATCACCGCACTGACACCTCCTGGAAGAAAACACATCGCCCAGCAAGCATTCTGAGTGAACTCGAACTGGTACTCGCTCTTCGTCTGCAATATCACCTACCATGCTTTCCCGTCTTGAACGCTGGAACTCTGTGCAGGAATGCGCAACAAATCGCCTGCTTTTCATACCAAGAGCACTGAACAACAAAAGGTTAGCACATGTCAAAGGGTTAAGAATGTCACTGGCTGTAGACGTGGACAAGCCTGGGCTTCCAATCAATTGATCCTATCCTTTTTGCCCAGAAACCCCGACGCTTTTTGGGTGTTTTCCGGGCCTCAACCCCGTGACAAAACCACGTCCCAGGCCTTTTACGAGCGCAACACAGCGAACCCCATCAATCGCAGGAAAGGCCAGGACTTCACACGCTCCGACCTTGGCTGACCGAGACGAGGTTCCAATGAGCATACGCTTGAAGCATCTTTGGCGCAATCCCCCATTGCAGTATCTAAAGTTGAAGCTGGTGCCATCTACTTGGACTTTCGCCCCAGCATAGCTTGTTGCGCACTTTGCAGCTTGGAAACGCCGTCCAGGACCTCTGTGGCAGTTGCCTCTGGAGCAAACTTGTCACACGCTCGCAGCCGACGTCGGCGGACTACCTGATGGTCTCGACTCAGTGTGGCCTTTGTCGTGGAGGTACCCCTGTACATTTGGTGGAACCCGACAAAAGCGCATCCAACCTCTTTTCTGGAAAGGACACAAATGGCTTGACGCAAGCTGCCTTTGCTGAAGCCTTTGCCAAAGCGCAGCTATGCTTTGGATCAAGGCACCCTCCGGAGCTCGAAGCGGCTGACGTCAAGGCGATGCCAGCGCCCGGGGCTCACGGGTGGGGAAAGCGCACATGGCCAACTGAGAGCAAGCGTGCCCCACATCTCACCGTGAGCGCACAAGGCACACTGAAACAACAGCCACAAAACTTTGTTGCAATAAATTGGTTGCTGAGACTGTTTTTCACGCTCGTACTTGATATACACACACACGTGCAAACATGTGTGCTGTCTGCTTCTTTTTGCTATCAATTGCCGCACATCGCAGGCAGGCTGCAAACAAATCTAGAAGCGCAAGAATGAAGTCGTAAAAGGGGGGTTGTGGTGTGGCTTCTGCAGACCGCAAATCACACCGCGTGGCAACTCTGAGTACAGGTCAAACACCAAGCAAGGCCTCCTTTAAGAAAAGTGAACAGCACAGAGGGAGACAAACCTCCTCTACAAAGGCCATTTGCGATGGAACAAACAACAGGTCAATCGACATTCATCAGCTAGATGTAGATTGATGCATGTGCAAGGTTGCTTTGCTACTTGCAATATACTACCTTGCGTGTGTGTGGAATGTCATGGATCATTGCAACTCAATCGAGTTTGAAAGGCTAGATGTTCATTCCAAGATTCCAAGCTCATGTGCCAACAAACGTAGATTAGGCTTGATGGAATCACAGCACTCGGCGGATACGACGGCGATGCACACACACAAACAGACACACACACACACACAAAAGCAGTTGGAAGGGTCAACAAGCCTGATTGCAGCGCAACTTAAGCTAGGCTCGCCAATGACACTCGTTCTGATGGTGCACAACTAAGAGCTCCAGAAAGTGGTGGCCTTGGGATAAACATCATGAACGATCATGAACAACGTCAGAAAACTCAGGCAAGGCCAAGGGGCCTACCGCGCTACAAGAGACACGATTCACGCACGTGCGCAGCGAATTCAGCGCTTCGATTCTCATCGAAAGGTCACGAACACGCCCCCAGACCCCTATTGTAAACGGGAACCCTTCGCTGCGCATTCGGGAAAAATCCCATGGCGAAAGCAGATCGACTCAAAACTACTGTTCAGCTTCATGCGTGATCATGGTCTTTTTCTCAGGGCATCCTAAAAGCCGAGGATGTCCATCGCAAAGAGCTGAGACTGTAGAAAGTCACATTTGTTTGCTGAAGCCTTGTGAACCCTTGCAGGGTGGGTAGTGACACCGTGAGCGTCTGAGGTTGTATACGCTGTGAGATGCCTGCACATTCAGGCCTCAATTACTGTACCTCTTTCTAGCATGCAATTCCACAATTTCTGCTTCTCAATGGAGGGTTAAGACTCCGAAGCAGGAGCAAACAAGCTTGAATCGGTGTCTTACAGCCTTCGGTGGAGGATCACTTTGAGCCTATGCTCAGCCAGCTCGCAGCACCTTTTTCAATCTGAAAGTTCAGAACCATCAGAATCCAAATGGCCCAGCCTCAGAGACTGACATTGAACATGATTGCTTGTGCGCTTTGAATGTGACTGTTGTGTGATAGTTTTGATAGTGTTGCTCATGTTACGCACCAGCAACACGTGCTATGATTGACATAGATTGGATCACCTAGTGACTCAAACATTGATGCTTTCCCTCCAAATGGTTGGTTTCATAGTGGCTCTCATTGCCTCCCATTCGACTGCTTGAAACCATGCGCGTCTCTACCCGACCCAAGCGCTGCAGGCGAGTCTGACCTCTGCAGCTTCTACACTTTAAAATGTTTGGTAGCCAGGTGTCTTTGTCCAATGAAGCTTGGGGCCACAACCTTACAGGGGTGGGCATCTAAATATTCGGAGCAACTCTGTTGAAACCGCAACTCTCACAGCATTGCTTCGACCAAGCCACAAAGCATCGGCCATGGGAGTTGAACAGCTGGACGTCGGCACAGCCGCTTCGCCCGCTTTGCGTGCCACGCCGGCCTTCACTTCTGCGACTTTTTCGTCGAACCGGAAGTTTCGGAAGGGCCTGGCAAAGGCAGCGGACTTCCATGACAGAGCTTGATATGGCTGCGTCAAACTTCCATGTGTCCTGAGCGAACTAACGATAAACGATACACTGCCAGTGCTTTGGTCAGTTGTTCGTGCCAGGCAACAGTTCCAGCCTTGGGCGCTTGGCTTGCCGCTTTGGGCAATTATCCTCAGCTCATGGCCACTTCTGACAACCCGGTCTATATGATGGCATCCGCGTGGGCTGACAAGTGACAGCAAGAGCTGATCGAATGTGAACAAGGCCGCCTATGATTCTACGCATGGTGCGATATGCAAACATTTAACACCATTTTGTGTGTTTTGGAGCGTCTCCCCTGACGAATTCACAGTCCAACAACACAAAGTCAAATTGATGCAAAACTAGGGCACAATCACCACATTCACTAGGAACAAGCGTAGTAATTTGCCTTGCCTGCGTGTCTTGATATGGAATTTCCTGCATGTGTACGTGGTATCACAATAGTGTTTTTGGAGTACACTTGCGCTGGTGCTTACTCCAGGCAACCACAACGATAACGCCAACAAGTCCTGCAATAGATCCAAGGTAAAGGACTTGTTGTTTTGTCTAAATGCGTCTACATGACCTGCAGTCTCGCCGTCATGAAATGTTGAAGTGCTATCCTATGTTGTGTTCATTCTTTCCAAGTCACAAGTCTGCAGCTATTAGTTGACTTTGCACTGTGACTGACAATCGCAGCAAGCGCCTTGTCACCACGGAACCTTTTACACATAGCCTCACCCGCGACCTTGCAAACAACATGAATAAGGTGCAGGGCCTGCGCCACCTCATTCTCACAAGATATTGCCTGTAAGCAACCAGTTTCTTGTGCTCAGGGTCTGCTATCTTCTCATTGAGCTTCGAACATGTCCCACTTTAATGACACTAAGAGAGTTGTCGCGGATATTGCAGGTGCTGACTTCGAAAGGCAGTTCAAGCCACACCGATGCCGTTCTGGCTGAAGAACTACCAACCGCCAAAGGCTCATGCACACAACTGATGGGTCCAGCCAAGTCTGAAGTTTGATGACTCTCTTGCCAACAGAACGGTTGCAGAAATACAGCGCCCACGGGAATCACATCAGTATCGCTGAGTTCACTGGCTTCGCTAAACTGGCGGCTTTTCAGCAACAGGAAGCATCACGCACGCTCCACACACACACCCACAAACACCCACAAACACCCACACACACACACCCACACACACACACCCACACGCACCCACACACACCCACAAACACCCACAAACACCCACAAACACCCACAAACAATCACAACCACCCACAAACACCCACAAACACCCACAAACACCCACAAACACCCACACACACCCACACACACACACAAACACCCACAAACACCCACAAACACCCACAAACACACACACACACAAACACCCACACAGACACACAGACACACAGACACACACAGACACACACAGACACACACAGAGACACACAGAGACACACAGAGACACACAGAGACACACAGACACACACAGACACACACACACAGACACACACACAGACACCAGACACACACAGACACACACATAGACACACACAGACACACACACACAGACACACACACAGACACACACAGAGACACACACAGACACACACAGACACACAGAGACACACAGAGACACACACAGACACACACACACAAACACACACAGAGACCAGACACACACAGACACACATAGACACACACAGACACACACACAAACACACACACACAGACACACACAGACACACACACACAGACACACACACACACCCACCCACCCACCCACCCACCCACCCACCCACCCACGCACGCACGCACGCACGCGCGCACGCGCGCGCGCGCGCACGCACGCACGCACGCA